GTGCCGGAAAAATATTAGAAAGTTCGCTACTGCGGAGAGAGTTGTCGACGGTTGGAACAAGATAAATGAGAAGAAGTTGGAGGCAAAAACCATCAGGAATTTCAAAGTGTTATATGAGAAAGATCACTGGGAAGACGAGCGTAGCTCTCGTCCTGTAACTACACTTGGGTAATTACACACCAAAATGAGAAGTCTCCGCGTCTCGTCCTACACAGAGACTGTTATGTTTAACCTTAAAGAAAGAAGGTGACTGCGTCACATTGCTCCGGTCATCGCGCGGCGCCACGAAGTCCACCAACCAGGAGCAACTTTTGCGTCACTGACTCAGGTGGAAGACCTCAGGAGAAAGTTGACATCCGGGAGGATGTGACGCCGACGTGAATCAGGCAGCGCCGGCAGCACCATCACGGAGGGGCGCTCTTGATTGGTGAGAAGAGAGGGGGGGGGGGGAGGAGGGGCGCTCTTGATTGGTTGGAAGAGGGGGGAGGGGGAGGAGGGGCGCTAGGCGTCGTGGAGGGCGGTGCTCTTGGTCACTGAAAGAAATGGGGGAAGACACTATTAGGCGCCGAGAATGGGGGAGGAGGGAGGTGCTTTTCGTTAGTGAAAGAAGTGGGGGGGGGGGTTAATGGAACAGACGTAAGATGGGACGGGGGGGGGACGGGGGCGGTGAATATTAGAGTTGTAGTGTTTGGGCAGTACCGGGAGGGGAGACGAGGAGGGATAGGCTGCTTAACACACACCCATTTCACTGAAGACGGCGTAGACAGCAAGATTGACTTACATGAACGGAGAGTGACACCGGAAATTTGGAGTGTCTCCAAACAGAGACCGCCCGGAGTGTGGCCACATGTGCACACTAGCGTACACACAGCACATGTACACACTAGCGTACACACAGCACATGTGCACACTAGCGTACACACAGCACATGTGCACACTAGCGTACACACAGCACATGTGCACACTAGCGTACACACAGCACATGTACACACTAGCGTACACACAGCACATGTGCACACTAGCGTACACACAGCACATGTGCACACTAGCGTACACACAGCACATGTGCACACTAGCGTACACACAGCACATGTGCACACTAGCGTACACACAGCACATGTACACACTAGCGTACACACAGCACATGTGCACACTAGCGTACACACAGCACATGTGCACACTAGCGTACACACAGCACATGTGCACACTAGCGTACACACAGCACATGTACACACTAGCGTACACACAGCACATGTGCACACTAGCGTACACACAGCACATGTGCACACTAGCGTACACACAGCACATGTGCACACTAGCGTACACACAGGACATGTACACACTAGCGTACACACAGCACAAGAAGAGCTGGAGGTCCCATGAGAGCAAGACACCGTAACATGATCTAAGGACAGTACCTCACATGATCACTTGTGATCAAATAATGCATTTTTCAAGTTGCTATAATTCTTACTTCGTCTAATGACAGTTATGCATTGCATATGTTGATATGACAGTTATGTTGTTGTTTTGTTGTTATTGTTTTAGATTCAAGTACTGGGAACAAAAAGTTGCAAGTAGCACGGGCTATGGTGAGCCCGTTGTGGACTTACCTGGCGCAGGAGCCAGGCACCCCAGCCAGGCACCCCATGTGCGCGTTGTCTGCGGCCTACCCCTATTGACGGCGGGGGAGGGGGGGGGGTACTGCCCCTCCTCACTGAGAGGGGGGGGGTCCAGCCACCCAACACCCCCCTCTTGAGTGAAAGTATTGCCAGGTGTGTACCTGGGGTGTGACGGGTGTGCGACCGGGGTTTGACAGGTTTGTTACTGGGGTGTACCTGGGGGTGTGACAGGTGTGTGCCAGGGGTATACCTGGGGTGTGACAGGTGTGTGCCAGGGGTATACCTGGGGTGTGACAGGTGTGTGCCAGGGGTGTACCTGGGGGGTGAGAGGTATGTGCCACGAGTGTACCTGGGGGGTGTGCCACGAGTGTGCCAGGGGTGTCATGCCCCAGCAGTGCCTCACAGCCAACTTTCACCACCAGCAGGACATCATTACAGTGAGCGGTGCACCACACAGAGCCGTGTATGGTGGGCGGGGCCAGTGAGGCGGCACTCGCCTAAACTTTCCACAGTACAGTAAACAATAGTTTAGCCGTGTACTAACTTGTCTCTCAATACAACAGGTAATATCCAAGGACAGCTTGGCAAAAAGAGTTACCATACATAGGAACATATGAACTTTACTTCTAAGGACTTTGTAGAGTGCTTATGACAGAGTTCTTAACATGAACACAAGAGTATTCCATCCTGTATTCCTTGTCTTAAAACACGAAAAATTTCTCAATTTTCATATCATTTTCCTAATGGATATTTACGCATAACCAAATTATGTGATTTTGTGATTATTTGTGCACAAGAGTATTCACTTCCTGAAGAGGAGAGGAGGATGTTGTTGTTCGATATTCGCTACTCAGAACAATAAGTTCCAGTAGCACGGGCTATGGCGAGCCCGTAAGTTGAGGCTCTTTGGAGCCATTATCTGTATCAGTGACTGATACTAGAGATCTGGCGGTATGAGAGGAGGAGAGACGCTCTTTTAAAGCGTTCACACTTGCTTGAGTGACGTACACACTTCAATGACACGGAGAATGACGTACACACTTCAATGACACGGAGAGTAACGTACACACTTCAATGACACGGAGAGTGACGTACACACTTCAATGACACGGAGAGTAACGTACACACTTCAATGACACGGAGAGTGACGTACACACTTCAATGACACGGAGAGTGACGTACACACTTCAATGACACGGAGAGTGACGTACACACTTCAATGACACGGAGAGTGACGTACACACTTCAATGACACGGAGAGTGACGTACACACTTCAATGACACGGAGAGTGACGTACACACTTCAATGACACGGAGAGTGACGTACACACTTCAATGACACGGAGAGTGACGTACACACTTCAATGACACGGAGTGATATTCTGGAGAGATACAAGAATTTTGCACCAAGATTGTAACTTCTTGCTGAATTGTCTGAATGTCTATTGCAACTTATGTCTATGTACTTCATCATAAAAGTATTTATGTGTACGTCTGGTATCATTTTGCATGTGTAAAGGAAGACATGTACTGTATGTGTTTATCGACCAAACTGTTCAGTAATATGTTGAGTGTTTGTATATATAACATTTTTATAACACAAACTTATTTCAAATTCAATTTCAACTTCCCTCTCTTTCTCCGGGAAGGGGGGGGGGTGGGTGAGATGGGACGGGGAAGGGCTGGGTGTAATGGGACGGGGAAGGGCTGGGTGTAATGGGACGGGGAAGGGCTGGGTGTAATGGGACGGGGAAGGGCTGGGTGTAATGGGACGGGAAGGGGGGTGTAATGGGACGGGAAGGGCTGGGTGTAATGGGACGGGGAAGGGCTGGGTGTAATGGGACGGGGAAGGGCTGGGTGTAATGGGACGGGGAAGGGCTGGGTGTAATGGGACGGGGAAGGGCTGGGTGTAATGGGACGGGGAAGGGCTGGGTGTAATGGGACGGGGAAGGGGAGGTGGGTGTAATGGGACGGGAAAGGGCTGGGTGAGGCGCGGAAGAGCCTGATATCAGCGACATAATGATGCAAATGTTAGAAAGTTGATGATGACAGTGGTGAGTGAGTGAGTGAGTGAGTGAGTGAGGCGAGGGGTAACTGCGTCATGTGTGAGGAAAGACGCACCTTTCATAACTAGTGAGGCGGGCCGCTAACACCGGAGAGTGTTAGCAATGAGTGTTAGTTGATGATGACATTGACAGGACACAATGGCTGCCACCACTCTTGTCAAAAACATTTGCTGCACAACAATGGGAAGTAATTATCAAAGTCAATATATAGACAGTTTCTAACGTCAAGCTTCACTGTCAAAATTTAGTGTGACTTTCACTGTACTTCCGTTAATGTTTTGTCTTGGACGAGTTGACTGAGAACGTGGTTAGTGGTCTCTGATGTTGCTGTATCTGATACCTGATACCCAAGAGTATCAGGTCGACCCTCAGCCTCCGTCAGATGGGGCTTCCCTTCACAGCCTTATGTCATCACCACCTGTACCATACTTCTCTCTTCATCTCTCCATCACAATCATGCTTCATCTCTCCACCACAATCATGCTTCATCTCTCCACCACAATCATGCTTCATCTCTCCATCACAATCATGCTTCATCTCTCCATCACAATCATGCTTCATCTCTCCATCACAATCATGCTTCATCTCTCCATCACAATCATGCTTCATCTCTCCATCACAATCATGCTTCATCTCTCCATCACAATCATGCTTCATCTCTCCATCACAATCATGCTTCATCTCTCCATCACAATCATGCTTCATCTCTCCATCACAATCATGCTTCATCTCTCCATCACAATCATGCTTCATCTCTCCACCACAATCATGCTTCATCTCTCCACCACAATCATGCTTCATCTCTCCACCACAATCATGCTTCATCTCTCCATCACAATCATGCTTCATCTCTCCACCACAATCATGCTTCATCTCTCCACCACAATCATGCTTCATCTCTCCACCACAATCATGCTTCATCTCTCCATCACAATCATGCTTCATCTCTCCACCACAATCATGCTTCATCTCTCCATCACAATCATGCTTCATCTCTCCACCACAATCATGCTCCATCTCTCCACCACAATCATGCTTCATCTCTCCACCACAATCATGCTTCATCTCTCCACCACAATCATGCTTCATCTCTCCATCACAATCATGCTTCATCTCTCCACCACAATCATGCTTCATCTCTCCATCACAATCATGCTTCATCTCTCCACCACAATCATGCTTCATCTCTCCATCACAATCATGCTTCATCTCTCCACCACAATCATGCTTCATCTCTCCACCAGCTTCTGTCTCAACAGCACAATTCCCTCTTCGCCAGATTGTCTCTAACGAGCACCTCTTTCTCCTGCAGATGATGACCCGTCAGATGATTGGTGCAGCCCTGGTGACGCTGCTGGCCACCTCCCTCGTCACCTCCACCTTCGCCGCGTCTGTGGAGGCGCAGGAGGCGCAGGAGGCGCGCAAATTCGTCTCTAAGCCCAACGATATCAAGAAGCAGCAACAGCTGCAGCAGGCTAACGTTAAGAAGGTAGATAGGAAGGTGCATTATTTAATGCTGATAATAAGAGATAATATAATTAGGAACGATATTCCACTATATAAGGGAATTAATGAGGAATCGTGCAGAAATAACTTTAAGAATTGAGCTTGAATGAAGGTGATATAAAGTAGAGGAAGTGGTTGATGAGAGCCCCGGCTGATGTGGTGTTGTGGTGTTGCAGGAACAACTGCCTAATGACGGAGGGTTCAAGTGGGGTAACCTCCTGGGCATGGTGATGCAGCTCTTCATCGGAGGACCTCATGCTGGACCCAACGGCGCTTCAGACAAGATGGACTACCTCACCCAGCTCACGGTAAGGCCCTTGCTGGTCTTGGTGGCCACACACTCAAGTTCTCTCTCTCACATTATAATGATATGCACAGACCATATTTGAACATGTACACTTGGTTTATCAAGGACTATTTGGTGTGGGAACTCCTAAAATAGTTTTGCGTTCATGTTCACATGTTTTTATAAAAGCTACTTTAGTGAAGTAAAGTCTTTGTCGTGGGAGTGTGGTCGACCCGGCCACAAGATTATATTTATCTTCAAAAATTTTGCAACTGTTTCATTACTCATATTTCTTTGACCACAGTCATTTAACGTCAGTGTTCACGCCTTGAACTGCAGTAACAAATAAACACTTCATTAATATAAGGACAAAGGAAACTGCAAAAGGTGTTCTGATCAGTAAGAGGCAGCTCCTAGTTACTTCTACTCAGACTCATTCACGTATGTGTAACCTACGCATAAAATAATCCAGCGATCCTAAGTTTATTATTACCCGGTGAATTGTACCATGAATTAACAACCCTGTTTACAGATCAGTATTTACCCAGGTCATTCCTGAATCTAATTTTCTCCAGATTATATCCAGAGTTTCGAGTTGTATTTTGTGTTGAGGATAAAAATACGGCTTTTTATAAATTTTGTTATACCATTTCATACATTTACGTACTTTGAACGTGTTAAGCTTTACTGCTCGCCTGTGTTGAGAATATAAGAGTGCGTTAACCTTACAGACAGGAGAGTTCTCGTGGTCCAAGTTGTTCTCCCTGGGTGTCCAAATGGTGCTCAGCGTCTTGGGAGGAGATAATGGTGCCATTGACAAGATGGACGGTGGATCTCCAGTTGAGGTGAGCCCTACAAGTGTCATTTCGTATATGCCAATATATACTTGTATTCAAGATTACCAAGTGCTGACGACGGTGTATACAATCATCGTGAACACAGTACACATTTCTCTTGTAAGATCTTTATCAAAGACCTCACAAGGAAACGTCATCTATTAGACTGGACTCGTCATGGTGCGCCTCCACAAAGAGGAGGACTGTAAACTGTTGACAAAGCCAGAGGTACGGGAGGAGAAAGTTTGAGCCCTCGCCTCACTATATATTAGAGGGCGTAATGACAGAGCAGTAGACTGCTCATATGGGAGCATTATGAGAGAAGAGTGTGCAGGTGTGCACAGTCAACAGTTATACTCTCACTCACCAACATTCTTGTAATAAATCAGGCTGTATTGCCATCCATATTTCTTAATTTAATTAAGTGCCACCAAGATTCACTGGAAAGTTTTATTTAATAATAAAAGTAATCGTCAGAGAGAACTCAAACATCAATTGAGACACCCCCCCCCCCCCGCCCACCTGATGTACTAATACAATTGTACTCGATATTATATTATATAACATCTTACATATATTTTATTAATATTATCAAATAACAAATATTATAATAACCAAAAATTGTCGAAATGTATGTAATAATAACAAACTTTACAACTTGTCTACACAAAAGACAAGTCATATAAGGTAACCCGTGTTAGTGTATACACTCAGGCCGCGGCACACAACCTCTACTCCAAACGCTTCTCTTCACATGTACAAAAAAATCATATTAACGTGATGTATAAATGAGTAAATCAGCAGGAGGCACGATGAGGATTTGAATCCTCCTCATGACTCCTACTGATTTCCTCATTGATACATCACGTTAGTGTGATATCTTCGTACACTATTCTCATTCTACGACTATTATGACGCCTGGTGTACAACTATCACTGCTAGTCTTAATACGAACACAACCCGTCTCTTCATATTTCCTCTAGTCTCCTCATTGTAAACAGTTTTATCCCCGTAGCTCATGCTTACCCTCCCCGTGTTAACCTGTTAACCTTGTTTGCTTTCCTGTCAATTGTGGTAAAGTTAGTACATTGTGTGGTATCCTCCAGGGCATCCTGACTGCTGTCATCTCCTACCTCACCGGCTCCAACGACCCCAAGGAAGTGGGCGTGATGGCCAAGCAGGCGTCTGAGGTGAGTTTCCAGGCAGATGAGTAATGTACGATGCTCAGTATATGCTAGGTATATGTTTACCGTGGTGAGATACTACGCACAGTAATTGATATTACTATAGCATTCCTGCACAGGTCATCAATTATTCTGAGGTACAATGTTTAGTAGCTTAAGTAACACAAGTGTTACATTTTGTCCGCATATATGTGATGAAGTGAATTTATACCCGCATGTGGCGTCTTCAATATAATGAGTGGGATTTCTAAACGTAATTTTTGGTGGGTGGTGTTGTAGCTGTTCGGTCTGGTGGTGACCCTTCTTGATGCCCTGCGCACCAGCTTCTCCCAGAGGTCCTTCGAGGCCAGGAGCCTCGGCACCACTGATCCCCTCGCTGACGCCGCCGTCGCCGCCACCACCATGTTCAAAGTGAGATCTTTACTTGTGTGTCACACCTCGCCCATAAGTTCCCGTCCTGCTCCCCTGAAGGTTCTCCCAAGCCCTCATGACATCAGTGCATCTAGCCTGGAGTCACGTGTCACACACCCATAACTTTTATAATATAATATAAGTAGGACAATATTACTAAGAGAGTAATTACAATGAAGATTAGAAATTTACAAGTAAAATACGTCAAATAATTGGGCATTTTAAACTATTTGATTACATGGCCGTAGATTACACGCCTGTCTACTTATCATGTTGACATGTTACGATGTATCATGTGGCCCTCTGTCCTGCCAGAGCTACATCAAGACCTACGAGACCGAGGACGACATCTGCATGCAGAAGTACCTGTGTGAGGCCAACTCCGACTGTGTCTACGGCACCGGCGACACTGGATACCTCTTCTGCCAGATGGGAACGTAAGCTCTATACCTCTCTAACTGGGGCAAGGAACTTGGCTCTTTACTTTGAGAAGGAATTTTAGAGTTTAACAATTGAGTAGTTCCTCATGTAATTTTGTATATATATTTTGTTCCTCCCCCCAAGTTTTTTTCTTTAGTTGTTTCATTTGTTATTGTCTTTAAGACCAGTTTTCCTTTTCACATTGATTTTCTTGTTGACGCGTATCTTGCCCGAGCGCCTTTACCTTACACTCCTTGGGTTGTTGTTGTTAAAGATTCGCTACCTGGAACAAAGTTCCAAGTAGCACGGGCTATGGTGAGCCCGTAATTGTGGCGACAGGTATTTGAAAATTTTAGTCCTTGGGTCTTTTGGCGCGCTCTGTCCTCACTCACTGCTTCATCCTGCAGTTATGGCGTGAGCTACTTCCTGGAGCGTTCCACCTACACTCCCTTCGAGATCTACAATGACGCCGGCAGGAGGGGACGAGTAGGCGAAAACTGCCAGGAGATCTTCAATGAGTGTAACGACTTCTAAAAACTGGTTGATGCAGGTGCGAGAAGCTTGTGGCTGGAGGTAGCCTCGTCCACCGGCCAGCACATCACTCTCCGCCAGGATCACCCACTTGCCCCCCAAACTCTCAAAAGATCAGTGTCTACCTTCATATTCAACTGACCCACGCTACATGTTGTAGATATTTTTTTAATTTACAGCCATTACTGTAAGGCTGCAATATATTTATTATTTTGACTGGAGCTCTGAAGTTCTAGATGACATAGGCATTGACCATTACAAGGCCCACAACACACCCACACGGCCTAACCAACGCACCTCAATGCCAACCATCACTATAATGGTTACCGGCGCACCCTTTAACTAGACATTGTTACTCGTTTGTCCAAGTTAGAGCTATTTATTTTACATTTATTTAAACAATATATATATATATATATATATATATATATATATATATATATATATATATATATATATATATATATATATATATATATATATATATTAAACAGGCGAATTCAAAAGTTAGTTTAGATTATTTATTGCTAAAGTATCGTATTTATTCCTCCAGGATCAGCCATGTCCTCTTGTTATCACGCGACTTGACACCGTCCTTACACTTGACACCGTCTTACACTTGACACCGTCCTTACACTTGACACCGTCCTTACACTTGACACCGTCCTTACACTTGACACCGTCCTTACACTTGACACCGTCCTTATACTTGACACCGTCCTTATACTTGACACCGTCCTTATACTTGACACCGTCCTTACACTTGACACCGTCCTTACACTTGACACCGTCCTTACACTTGACACCGTCCTTATACTTGACACCGCCCTTACACTTGACACCGTCCTTACACTTGACACCGTCCTTACACTTGACACCGTCCTTATACTTGACACCGTCCTTATACTTGACACCGTCCTTATACTTGACACCGTCCTTACACTTGACACCGTCCTTACACTTGACACCGTCCTTATACTTGACACCGTCCTTACACTTGACACCGTCCTTACACTTGACACCGTCCTTATACTTGACACCGTCCTTATACTTGACACCGTCCTTACTTGACACCGTCCTTATACTTGACACCGTCCTTACACTTGACACCGTCCTTATACTTGACACCGTCCTTACACTTGACACCGTCCTTACACTTGACACCGTCCTTATACTTGACACCGTCCTTACACTTGACACCGTCCTTATACTTGACACCGTCCTTACACTTGACACCGTCCTTACACTTGACACCTGCCTTACGCTTGACACCTGCCTTACGCTTGACACCTGCCTTACACTTGACACCTGCCTTACGCTTGACACCTGCCTTACGCTTGACACCTGCCTTACGCTTGACACCTGCCTTACGTTTGATACCAGCCTAATACCTGACACCAGCCTCATGCCCGACACCAACTTTACGTTTGACACCAACTCTACGTTTGACACCAGCTTTATGCTTGACACCAGTCTTACGTTTGACACTAACCTTATGTGTCTGTCCCATCCTGTAGCTGCGTCTGCATCGACAGTGCTCCTTGGACAGCTAAAACTTGACAGCCTTCCCTTTGCCACATCCTTATGCTTGACCTTATGCTTGACACCAACCTTATACTTAACTTCAGCTATTACGCTTGACACCAGGCTTACATATGACATCAGTCCGACACTTTGATACTATCCCTTCTCTTGACACTAATCCTACGCTTTCACGTCAACCCTGCGTCTTGACACCTGCAGGCATATGTTTGAGACTAGCCAGGCCTACTCCTGACGGCGGAGCGGCACTTAACACCCGCTCAACACCCGTCAAATACCGTACGCTTGAAGCCCTCGCTACTACTGACACTAACCCTCCACTGGACACCACCAGCGCCATCACCTGACACCAGCCGTATCAACCGTCACTAGCCCAGTTACCTGACACCAGCCCCATTGCTTGACACCATTAAAATCGTCTGACACTATCTCCATCACCTGACACCAGCCTCATCACTTGATTCCTGCCCAATCACAAGCCTTATCGCTTGACACTATCCTCATGGCTTGACATCAGCCTGACGCTTGTCATATGACACACCAGACCAATGCTTGACATTTGACCCATGCTTGATTATTGACACCAGCCCGACACCTAATACTTGAGACCAGCTCGACACTTAATACTCGCCACCAGCGTGATATATAATATTTGACACCAGCCCGACACCTAATACTTGACACGAAATCGACATATATTTGACACCAGCGCCGCACTTTAACCAACACTAGCCTGGTTATTGACACTAGTTCAACACTTAAACACTCATCCTACTCTAACACTGGAGATACGCCTAATAATTAACACCAGACCAACGCTTGATATATGACACCAGCCTGATGCTTCGTACCTGACACCAGCCTGATGCTTCGTACCTGACACCAGCCTGATGCTTCGTACCTGACACCAGCCTGATGCTTCGTACCTGACACCAGCCTGATGCTTCGTACCTGACACCAGCCTGATGCTTCGTACCTGACACCAGCCTGATGCTTCGTACCTGACACCAGCCTGATGCTTGACCTAACGATTAACACCAGCCCATTTATTGCCACAAACTCGACACTAGATACCATCCCTAAGGTTGATGTCAGTGTGACACGACACTAGTCCGACGTTGTCTTACCAATATGACGAGAGCTCCGACACCAGCGGCACTCACAACCTACTCTCTTTGACGACGACCCTCACACAACGACACTCACACGACGACCCTTACCAGACGACCCGTCACACGACGACCCTTACTAGACGACACTCACACGACGACCCTCACACGACGGCACTCACACGACGACCCCTCACCTCACGACGACCCTCACCAGACAATCCTTACTAGACGACTCTCACATGACGACCCTCACACGACGACACTCACAGGACGACCCTCACACGACGACCCTCACACGACGACCCTCACACGACGACCCCTTACTAACCGACCCCTCACTAGACGACCCTCACACGACGACACTCACACGACAACACTCACACGACGACCCTCACCAGACGACCCCTCACTAGACGACCCTCACACGACAACACTCACCAAACGACCTAACACTATAGACACATTGAGCACGGTGCGAGGGCTGGAAGGTAGGTGGCTGTATCAGGTGTGTTGGGGCTGCGTCAGGTGTGTTGGGGCTGGGTCAGGTGTGTTGGGGCTGCGTCAGGTGTGTTGGGGCTGGGTCAGGTGTGTTGGGGCTGGGTCAGGTGTGTTGAGCTGGGTCAGCTGGCGGGAGTGACCGTAATATCCACCAACAAATACTCATACACATTTGTCAATGCTCAAATATCCTTAGTGTGCGGAGTACTTATTAGAAAACAGTCATAAGCTCATATCTTAAAATACTCAAATCAAATTAGAGTTTCTTCCTTATAAATGACAGTAAACAAGCTTGAAAAAAATGTTCCATATACTTCGTTGTGTGTACTGAATTTTATATTTTATTTAATACCGATATCGATGAGTTCCCGAAATTCGGATCAAAAGTTATTCAAATTCAAGATCAAATTTTTCTTCTTCTGAAAATTAGAAAATTGATAGAAGAGTGACCAAACTCGTTATTTTCCACAAATGTTATCAGACGCGCTTATATCACCATTGCCATAATTGATCTAATTCATGACATTTTATGAATAAAATTATCTTCCCAGTAAGCAATAATTGTTATATCGGCTGTTGATCATTGTAGGAACTTAAAAGGAAAACTCAAATGTGGTGGTTATCTACGGTGGTAAACGTCAGTTGATGGCAGTGAGTGATGGTAGCCGGGAACGGCAACTGGCGTGTGTAGCAGTGAAAGGGTTAACTCATCAGCCGCCTTCATACCCTGGTTGTGACAACATAATTTACTCATAACACATTTGCGTGCATTTGAACATTTTACTGAACAGCGCTTCACTCACTTCCTACATTAAAAGCGCTAAAGTATATATACAAATAATTTCCAATGACACCAGAACACCTAATATAACTTATCCTAGGCCTAATTATGAGCAAAATAATAATATATAATAATATTAATTCATAGTTGAGAAAATACCGTTTTCGATAAGTGCTAAAAAATTCTGGAGTGCGTGTTATGAAACTGACGGCTGGAGCCTGGCCGAGTATACAATGAGTTCTACTCACTCTAGAGTGACTCACGATAATTATTAAGCCCCCCCCCCCTGTTACCTAGCAGTAAAATAGGTACCTGGGTGTTAGTCAGCTGTCACGGGCTGCTTCCTGGGGGTGGAGGCCTGGTCGAGGACCGGGCCGCAGGGACACTAAAAAGCCCCGAAATCATCTCAAGATAACCCTGGACCATCCCCCTGTAATATTTCTCTTTTGTTATGGCTAAAAACATAACCCGTTTTCATTTCGTGTATAGTAGTAAATCCTGGGCACTGGCGGACACCACCCACACCACGACTGATCGGTCACGGAGTTGTGTGAGTCAGAGCGCGAAGGTCCGCGTGGTCCTGGAGGAAACCAGAAACGCACATTATATTTGCTTTAGCTTAAAAAAAGAACAATATCAGCACTCAGTAACCTAGTGGTTATTTAGCGACGCTGGAGACGGATGGAGAAGATGGCTGATGGATGCTGAAGCTGTCTACTGCTCCTGAGCTCAGTACCAGACCCTCGCTCCTCGCTCTGGGAGTCGTGTCCTCACTGGAGGTCGTCTCTGTCACCATGACCCAGGGAGAGCAACGACCGTACAATAGGTCGTCTCCCTGGGTCGTCAGGACACCTACTCCGTCCTGCTTCTTGTCTTATTTATTTATTTGTTAAGTTTAAATACTTTATATTTGTTCCCGCTGGCGGGCTATAACAGGAATATAAAAATACAAAAAAAATATATATATATATGAAGGCAGTTTGCTGACTGTGTGAAGGTCCTGTTGTCTGGTAATAGATCATTTCACTCGAGCTACACGTGTGTGTGTTCTGGTATACAGGAGGTGAGATAACATGCCACACCTGACTTGTCAACGTGTAGTGACATGACACACCTGACTTGTAAAATGTGATTACATTTAAAATTGAAGTACACCTGATTAGCCACACTAAGATGGCATTTTACTCTTGACGTGACATGCTGAGGTAACATGACACACCTGATGTGACACACCTGACGTGACACACCTGACGTTGTGCACCAACTGGACTTAAATAACTCAGCTTCGCCGTAAATTTGATAACAGACTTCAAAGGAGCTCCAAGTTAGGAGTTAGTTCATGGGTTGAGAAATTATACAATTTAATCAGTTCTATTAAAGTTACAGCACAAGACTGTTAGTTAAGACCTGTCCCACGGACCTGTTGTGGCAGCACTAATGATGCCTCTACCTCATGTCTTCATGACAGGTCAAGTTGACA